CGTGCGGTGGTGGGTGCATTTCGTGCGGTGGCGAGATGCTTCTCGTGCGGTGGCGGGATGCTTCTCGTGCGGTGGTGGGTGCGTCTCGTTGGTGGGGTGCGTCTCGTGCGCGCGATGGTGGGTGCGTCTCCTTTTCAAGGGTTTCACTTTCAGGGAACTTTTTGAAGGAAATTAAAGTAACAAATTAAAATGACTAAGAAATTCTTTTTATTATTATTTTTAACATACATTACGACGATTCTCTTAAAACTGCCACAATATTTACAAAATAATACATTATGACGGTTCTCCTTAAAACTGCCACAATATTTATGAAATAATTATTTAATTTATCAAATATCTCCTATTTTTATTAATGACATCATACAAATATTATTAATGTTATATTTTGATTTATTTTTCTGTGTGCTCATACTAACATTTTAATATTTTTAGTTTCTCCTTCTTTTTTAATTGTAATCTTTCAAGAAAATAATATTTTATAATTACTCCTGACTTTATAATTTTTAGTCACAATTTTGAAATTATATAATCAAAATACACGACGTAAAAGACCCTTTCTGTACTAGTGTAGCAACGATTCACTTTTAATCTATGCATGTCTTATAATTAATAATTTTAAACAACTCAAACATATTAATTACATAACATCATTATTCTAATCAACTATGTAACTTGGAATTATATATAAACTCATAAATTAAATCTCTTTAGTTATTAACAAGCCTTACTTTAATATATAATTCCAAAAATATTCATTTTTATATTATAAAAAAAAGTTTTACAATTGCTTTTCAAATACTATACTATATTGAAATTCATATACACACAAAGAAAATATCAATTATTGTTAATAACCATGTAAATGGCGCACTTACCATAATTATTGTAAAAACAGATGCAAAGGCCATAATTTTGCGCTTAAACATTTTTTTTTTATAATATGTAAAATGAAAATACAATCAATTGGCTTCTGTATATTAAAAGGCTTCAACATAGTGAATGACAATATCATTCTTTTGCTGTGCTCACAGTCACATTCAAATTTATTGTGCACACAATATTTTATGCAATTTGATCATCTATGCACATATAAAACATATATATGAATTCATCCATACATTAAAAAAACAATTAAAATCCTTATTCATCTTAAATGATTTCAATTGCATACCCAGAGAGAAGCCACATACACATAGGGAGACAAATTCAATCACAGAGTAAAGAAGATCTTTAATGGAGAAATATATTATCCTTAACCTATGCTTTGATACCAAATGTTAGTAAATTTTATGATCACATGTAATTTCATAGAATTCATCATTTAAGAGAATTACACTCAAAGGATCTTAGATAACATATTTCTCACTATTCTTGTACTCCATAATTTTTTTATAAGAAAGTTTAGAAAACATACCAAGACCCATAATGTAATACATAATTTCTAATAATTTGTTCTCCTTTCTCTAACTTCCTTTAATAGGTCTCTATATATGATGGTATAAAAATCTCCTTTTGTTTGATTCTTGGCAATTCTATGTTTTCATAATTTCTCCATAAAAATAAGTTTTGTGAATAAGCATAAAGGAATTCTTGAGAGAGTTAGGAAGAAAGAAGTCATGCTAGTTTATAAAACCAACTTAACTTCTGTAACTTTCATAACTTCCTTTAACTTCCATTTTTCAAATTATTTTTCTTTAATTCCAAAATTACCCTTTAATGAAGTGAGAAGGGATGGAATTTATTTTAATAACCTTAAAATAATCCCTAATGACTTTTAATATATTTTTAGTCTAACAACCATCACATTAGACATTTTTCATTAAAAGTCATTCCTAAAATATATGAGTCAACATTAGATTAAAAAATCTAACATCCTCCCTCCAATTCGAGCATAACCTGATAGATATTGTTTGAGATTGAGCACAAATACAACAAATAGCAAGCCATAGGAAGGCGAGCCGGAGACATGCTTCTTGTATAGTAAAGAGAGATTTTTAAGAAAGAGGCTTGATATGAAGAGTACAAAATGAAGTAAGGAAGGATCCAATGTGGAGAAAATTCTTTGTGAATGGGAATGACCCATTAGAGTTACTCAAAGTTTGAACATTGGAACTTATAGATAGAGTACCTATTCAGCCAAAAGACTTCGAGAACTTGAAATACCTCACACTTGAAATACTATTATAATTAATGTTGTAATGAGATGTTGTACACTTTCCTACCATCGGTCTTTTTTCCAATAAAAAAAGGATTTTGGTTGAGAAGGTTTTAACACGAAACACTAATATCGTTTTAATAAAACGGACTTTCCATACTATTCCATTGCGTTAAAATCCAAGTATAAAACTTGGTACCGAAGACCTTGGCCGAGTAAAAACTATTAGCCAAGTTAAATTTAAAACTTAAAAATATAAAATATTGGTATTCGAAAACCTTGGACGAGTAAAAACTCTTAGCCAAGTTAAATTTAAAATTCAAGTATAAACCTATTGGTATGCAAAGACATGATAAATTAAAAGCTCTTGGGAAACTTTAATTTAAAATCTAAGTATAAAATCTTGGTGCTCGAACACCTCTACCTAGTAAAAGTTCTTAGCCAAGTTAAATTTAAAACTTAAGTATAAAATCTGGTACACGAAGACCATGACCGAGTAAAATCTTTTGGCTAAGTTAAATTTAAAACCCAAGTGTAAAATCTTGGTACAAGAATATTTTAATCGAGAAGAAAGTTCTCAAAAAAATGCAAGTATAAAACCTTGGTACGTGGAGGCTTCGAATAAGTAAAATCTTAATACTCGAAAGTTCATCTGAACAAGAAAATCATACAAGCTAAATGTGTGTAAAAGTAGAATCATATAAGTTGGAAAATGAAATTTCATTGATAAACGAGGAGATCCAAGAAAATTGGGCACTATCGACCCCTTAATACAAGCTAATTCTCAGTTTCATCAACAACCTGTATGGATTCTTCAATTGGGACATTCACCACCCTAATGTACAGAATCTAGACTGAGCTTTCCTTCTGGAGCAGAATTGCTGAGAGTGATAATTAAAGTGTCCCAGCTTTCAGGTAGAGAACTGAAGAGCATAAGAGTTTGCACCTCATCATCTATGTTTATTTCTGCTTTCTTCAGTTGATTCACAAGACCTTTGAAGGTATTCAGATGTTCGATCATGTTTTGACCGTCCATGTACTCCAACTTTGCAAGTCGTCTGTAAAGGTGGGCTTTGTTCCTAGGTGTCTTCTTTTGAATTAAAGATTCAAGTTTTGTCCACAACTCATACGCATTGGTATAAGTTGATACATGCTCGAACAAACTTCGATCAATATACTTTCTGATCACAGCTACAGCTTTCCGATTCAGGATCTCCCAGTCTTTATCAGTCTTCCCCTCTGGCTTACTTTGCTGGGTGATTGGCTCATACAAATCCTTGCAATATAAATGGTCTTCCATCATCGGCTTCCAATATGAGAAATTATCAGCAGTTAGCTTGAACATATCTCCATCATGAGTGGTGGTACTCTCCATCTTGAATTATACAGGCTGAATAGTGTCCAACCACAAGAATAATCTTTTCTGATGTGGAAGATCAGATAAAACTGCAACCACAGAGCATACTAAGAATTTTCTTATGAGAATGACACCTTAGTCTTCAAGAGCTCTGAGAGCTCTGATACCACTGTTGGGAAATGGCATCATAATTTCCCTTCTCTGTTAACTCAAAATGGGCACTGAGCGGAAACGTAAAATTATTACACCAGAAATTTTAGCGTGGAAAACCTTTCTCAAGGAAAAACCACGGGACCAGTAGGCCACTTAATCTTCCACTATAAAATAATGGGAATACAAAATACAATGATATTGTATCCTCAATTTGTGGATAACACTCACAAATTGGCTCACTATTTTTCTCTCTTAGAAAAACTCTCTCTAAGGCTTTCTCTCTATTTCTTCTATGAGTGGAAATGCTTCACTCTTGGATGATTAAGCCTCCTCTCAAGCCTCCTATATATAGGCTTCAAGAATGCATCATGGCCATTGGATATATGTGGCTAGAAAACACCACAACCATTGATTTGATACTTGGTCATTATTAAGCCACACCTACCACACCTACCTCACCTACCACACTTATCACACCTACCACAATATTTTTCTATGGCTGGACCCATCAATTAGATAGATATCTATATACAGATCATAACATATCTGACATTCCTTACACATCATTCAATACTTCCTAGCATCTATCCAATAATAATTATCTAGAGAAGAAGAAAAAAAACTTTGAGCCAAACCACTTTAAATAACACAAGTATCAGATATATCAGTGTCTTCATTATCTTTTTTTAAAAAGGAAAAAAAAGACCTTATATTTTTTCCATAGAAGCCTCACTCAAATATCCTACACAACGAAGTATATAACCATAATTAAGATTCACAAATAAAAAAAAACAAGAAGAAACATGCATATATAAATGAGAAAGAGTGAGAGAGAAAAAAGCTTACAAACTCAACCAGACCCTGGTTCTTATTAAGCCCAACACAGCATACAACGTTGACAACTTTACCGAAGGGAGTGCACAACTCTGCGAGATCATCCTCGGAGCATTCATTAGGAAGGTTCCGAAAGTGCACCACCTTTGACGGCTCAGTGAGCTCACACTGTTTCTCAGTTGGTGAAGACACTCCCTCGTCGATTTTGAGAGAACAAGCCATGAGAGATTGTTTTGAGGCTGAAAAAAGTTTCACAAGCTGAGATCGATATGTTAGAGAATAAGAGAATAGATAAAGATATAGGGAATGGTAATAGTGGACCTAGGCATGTTAAATGCTGGTGAGTTTATTGCATTAAAAATATTGAAAAATCATTAATTCTATTTTGCTGTTTAATAACTTTAATATTTAATATATTATGTAATTTTTTTTAAATTTTATCATAGCATTTAATGATGATGACCGGTATAAAAAAATATAAATTTTCAGCAAATAAAAAATCATATATATTTTTTTGTGAATAAAATATATATATAT